AAAAATACTGCTGCAAACAATTTGCACCCTGTGTGGACAGACTCACATCCATAGTAAAGACCCATTTACACAAAAAAAATCAAAATAAATAGAAAAAAATAAATAAAAAAAGTATAATAATAATAACTATATTACTGTTCACATCAACACATGATAACAGTCAGTTTATTTTAAGAATGTGCTAAACGTTTGTTGTCTGCCACTTTAAATGCTCAAGCTCTTTAAAGCACTATAAATTCTAATTGACTGTCAAAGATTTTATCGTTCATCAGCTGAAAAAAAAATCGTACTGAAAGTGATCCCAACGATACTGTTCCTCTATGTTATTATCGTTATAGTTGTGGTGTGAATTTTACACTCATAAGAACTATAAGACTCCCATTTGTATTCAAATCCAGAATAATTGAGCTACGATGTAAGAAAAGAGATATTTCAATAAAATCTACTGCTTTTAAGTTCCCTTTTCTAAGAGTGAGCTAAAAGAAACAGCAAAACATTCAATCATTGAATAGTGAGCTGCATATTTTAGGGCATCATTAATCAAACAAATAATTAATGGAGGGGGCAAAAGTTGTGCTAGGCTTCAAAACAGACATCAAGCATTCTGACTTTATATGTTCTTCCATTTCTGTCTCTCTGTCTGCGACCCAGGGCAAAAAGACACTCATTACTCCTAATACCTTATAGCAATCAAGATGAAAAGCAAAAAACAGCAGCACAAGAAGGGTAAACTTTATTAAACTTCATTAAAGTCAAAGTCGGGGATCATGTCTGTAATGGTCACACTCAGTGGAGGGCGAGCAGCGTAAATCATCTCAAAGGCTTTTTTCCAGCTTAATGGCTGGGTAATTTATACTTTGATGTCGTTTGAGTGTAGCTATCACTGTCTAAGGGCTGTTTATTCTGTTTATGAGGCCTAAATAATTCCTGGCTCTTTTTACCCATAAACCCTAAGCAACAATTAACAACTGCGGACATCCCGAGCAGAGGCAGATGCATAATGAGGAAGAAAGAGCAGATGAAAAAAGCACTAAGAGTGGGGGGAGAGATTACAAATGGGCACCGTGCAAATGATACCAAAGCGAATCCAGTCTTGTCTCGGTAAAAACAAGATATTTTAATCTCAAAGCATCCAACACGCTGCTTTAGTTGCCCCAGCAATTGACTGAATTGCTCAACTGAAATTGAATGTTCTCTCCAGAGAGCTATCCAGACCTTTTCCTGACAATGGATGTGGGTCGCCTATGCAGGCGTTCCTCTGTTATTAAACACAGGCTTTCATTGGTCGTTCTGTTTTCCTGCTGATTTTAATTTGCTATTAGCAGTCGGCACATATGTCCCTGAGGCAAAAAATCTAAATGATTACCTACAGTAAATGCACACTAAAATATACAGACGTATAGAGGTAGTCTTGAACAAATACAGGTAATGTGTCAATTTAATGCTTTTTTTGTAATGTTTTTTTTTTACCCCAAATTAATTCAAGATTAATTTATTTCAAATACACGCTAAAATGCAATGCACTTGAACACGTCATTTTTTTCAAATATCTGAATTAAAATTATTTAAGGCATATAAAAAAATTTATAAAATGAATTAAAATAAATTATATTGTAGATTTTTGTGCATCACAATTTTGGTAAATGCATAATACAAGTGTATATATACACACAGTCACAATGCACTCAGCAAAATTTTAAGGAACAAAAACCTACAAACAACACGATTATATAGTCACTCAGGTTGGAAATGCTCCGTTATACATGCATGAACTGTATAAGCTGAAGTTGAACAGTGAATGAACACAAATAGACTGAAGCGATTTGCTAGCAGGTTAATAAACTCACCCAAACCTACCCTACAAATATGTCATTAATCATACACAACATAAACACAATATTGCAACTTGTTTATGCATATGTGAATGCACACTCTCTATAGTGGCTCACTGAAACAAGTATAAAGTAACGCACAATGAATAACTAATGAATTAACATTGTAATTTTTCATAATCTACAATATGGATATTTAATTTATTTAATTGATAATTCATTGATATAGAATAATAATTAAGATCTGTACACGCATATATTCAGTTGGTAAATAAAAAATATATTACTATTTACTTGGCTACACATCAACATTTTAAGTCTAATTAATATGCAACTTCATTTTTCAAAATCCAATGAAAACAACTCCAAAGAAAACAATGTATAAGAAATAACTGTGTTTTCAACTACATTTTTAAAAGATTTGTCTTTTTCTTTATCATGTCACTGACCCACTTAACAGCGAGGCCTAAAAAAAGACATCTCCATTCGGACTCAATATCTGCTAGAAAGTGTGCAGAATAGGAGACCTTCAGACTATGAAAAGCACTTGAAGGAAATGAGTGCAGCGAGATAAGGCAGAGGCAGCCCACCGCTGCTCTGTAAGTATCCAGCAGTCGTCTCCGCTGGCAATTAAGAAAGCCTAAAACTACAGGCCTCAATAAGGTAATTAACCATTAGCAGATCATCGCGACGCTTATGAACGCAACCTTCACAAGCACAATCATCCTAATATGGTCAGTAAAACGGCAACCTGCCATCTTCTGCCAGCGCAGACCCATTGCACAGCCCATCCTTAATTGTGGGCCATCAACAGTAATTTAGCTCGCTGTCCCACATAACAGCTTGATAAACAAGACTGGCCTAATTACACCTTGCATGTTCCGACCCAATCCTCTCAGAGCAAACGATAAATAAAGCAAGGTTAAGTGCAAACGAATAGAAGTCAGGAAGCGGAAGAAACACAGAGCGTGCAGGGGACCTGTGCTTCCACAATCACATAGTCGGTAATGTTCGTCTCGGGCAAGTGGAGATCAAAGACAGTGCTCCCCTTCCACCTCAACATTGTAGGTTTTTTTTCCTTCCCGCTCCTGAAAGCACGAGTTAGGCTGTTCTAAGTTTACTCAGTGCTCGCTGGAACGGGCATGACAGGGATCACGGCTAACCCCGAAGGACAGGTGCTGCGTGGCTGGAAAGAGAGCAGCTCCCTCGTGCTCCTCGCAGGTCACTTCCAAGCAGCGCGTTAGTGCGAGCGCCGCGGCAGAAGGCCCTTAACGGGGAGTGTTGGCTGCTAGCCTGTAATTAGCTTGGACAGCTCAGGCTCAAAGAGAGAGAGGGAGGCAGCCAGGCTACATCATAATGAGCTCAGCTGGGATTAGGAGGACAGGCAGCCGGCAAGGTGGGGGCGTGAAAAGAGTGAGCCCTCCTGTACGAGCGAGCCGGGGGTAGAGATCAAGCAGGGGAGGGCCAGGCCACACTGGCTGGCAGGGTTAGACCCGTCAGCAAAGGATGGGCCAAATGAGGCCTGGCAAGGAAAGGGCCAAGGCGGCCTAATGAAGCGCGAAACCTCCAGCAGACGAGATCAGCAGTAATTAACACATGTGCGCGCACGCACTGTCACTGAATGTACCCCCGAAAAATCTCGAGGGAGCAAACCTCAAGACAGGAATGTCAGTGTGTTTAGCTGCTATAAATGTCTGGAGTTGCACCGAGCATCTGTATTCAGTGTTGTGTTAAGGAAGTTGTTTACAGAAAAGCCTGAACTAATTTTCTTTGCATTTGATTTTTTTAGACAGAGCAGTACAGTTTGACATGCAGAAAATGGACAATGGATTGAAAGATTTAACATACTAGCTTTGAAAGCACTTACAGTAGGTCTTCACGAGCACATCTGGCAGTATGGATGAGGCTTGACGCACGTGTGCAACCGGTGTCGACTCGCGCCTGGCTCCGCGTTTAAAATGAATGTAAATTCAGTCTAACTGCTTGCTAATTTCACTTGGATGAAATGAAACATTCAGCACATTTTCCACTTGCTCTTAAAATGAATAAATCAATGTAATACTTTAATAATTGACTTAAGAAATACAGTTCTTTATTTATAAAAAATAAACAAATATTTTCTGTGAAATTCAGTAATTAAGTTAATTCTGTAAAAGTAGTTATACCATTATAATCTTGCCTGCTGAAGAAAAAAAACAATAGAACAAATTTAATGGATTTCAGGGTTATAATGGGTATTTGTGTGGTTTTAATGTAAACTATAATGGTGTCTATTTGATGGATTCTATTGGTGGGATGTAATCTGGCAGATGGCAACCAATAGAACAACAGTAATTCCTATTGGAATAATGCCCAAAACAAAAAGGAATTTTGTAATGGTTTAATGGAAACTATAAGAATTTCTGTGATGGTTTCCATTGTTTTTTTCAGCAGGGTAATGACACCCATACTGTGCTGCACATTATTGACAATACCGAGCTGAAGCTTGACTTTGCAAATTTAAAATCGCAAATCAAATCGCAATCGCAATATCTGTCAAAAAAAATCGCAATTTGATATTTTCCCCCAAATCGCACATCCCTAACTTACAGTGAACCAAAATTTCAGTCCTAGAGGCAATCATTGTAACTTTGGGTTGTGAATGTGCTAAAAAGCCTTGAGATGGACAGCTTTTTCCCCTAAGTTCTGTTTGAAATGACAATATCATTTTTCTTGAAGTGTCAGCAGTCATCTATGTGAAATTGCAGTAGAATCCCTGCTGGGTGCTAATAATGACTGTGACGGCTCTACATGACCTGACAAAATGACAGACACTTACTTGTCAGAGAGTAGCTTCTTGTTCTCCTCCTTATAAAACACCAATTCATTCCATAAATCCTCTCTGTCCTGCTGCACTTGTGTTTTGCATTTTGACCTGAAAAATTGGAGGAAAAAAAAAAACAGTTATACAAATAGCAGCATCTTTCTGACTAGAAACATATGAGAATTTTAGGCTTGCCACTCTTTCTGTGAAAAAAAAAAGTACAGTAATTAACTCCCGAAACCCAAAATATCAGAAACATTTATGAGAAGATATTCTTCTAAAATTCTTGGTCAAATAAATGTAAGATTACACCCATAAAATTGTAATTATGTGGGCTTGTTATCTTAACATGCACATATATTACCAAAAACATATACTGATGGCTCACAGAATTCTAAACTGCCAAAAAGCGGTGAAGCCACCAGAAGTTTTTGGACCACCAGAAGTGTTTGAAACACCAGAGTGATAGCCAATATTTTGACTGAAAAAGACCCAGTCTGAAGTCTATCAGTGGGACATTATTTATTTATTTATTTTCATGCTCTTTATCTTTAATTGTTACTGTAGATGTTAACTGTAATGTCTCTGGTTAGTTTACACAAAACAAGTGACAGAAATCGTAAGTCTGTCTACTGCACAGTCCCGAACTGCAATTTACCCAACACAAAATGTATGTAATTATGCAGGAAATATTAAGTATGAACATGTATCTGGGATTATTAGCAAAAAATGTCTAGAATACAACATACAACAAATACCATACAAAGCTTTAATACTATATTGCATTAAGATTCACGGTCGTATACCACGCATTTTCTTGAATGTTTGTAAACATTGCGTAATATCTTCAGGTCTTTTCACTATAGTCAATATAAAAAAAGTTTTGATCTATGTGTTTTTTCTTCTTCTTTTTTTATGTCTTTTCACTGACCAACATCCACTGCAGACTACTAGAAAAATTTGAGAAAAAAAACATTCTAGGGCTAGGTTGGTTAGTGCAAATTACTAAAATGTTTAAAATGTCAGTTTGCGTAGTTTGACATATATACTATAATTTTTTGAATTAAACATTATTTGAACCAATTTAACCAACATTAAGCCATAAAACACTGTTGAATCATTTACATTCAGTCACTATACTAATAAAAACGTCTCGGTTACGTATGGTAACCGAGACGTAGAGTAGTCAGAAGCAGAACGATGTGATCGCTCGGCTCCGAAGCGAAAAGCTGAATATGCGCTGCATCTGCTGCCTACTTATACTCACGCTGTGATCAGCGGCAGCTGGATGCAATAATCGCATGCCAATGTGCATTGGCTCGTTTAGTTTACACTCGAAGTAGATTGGTCTCTCTAAGCGAGATCCCAATTTCGTCGGTCATCCGACGTGACGTCGAGAGTGACCGACTGAAAGGGAACTAATGTAACACACAATAATTACATAACACACAGTGGATAATTAGCTATGAAAAGATGTGGAGAGTCATTTTTGTGGCTGACCTTACTGCATATGTATTTGTAGGAGTTTCCCGTTCAGACAAAAACATTATGAGAGAAGAGTATTTAAATATATTACGCAAAATGATCTCCTAAGATTTGTGGCGGTCAATTTATTGGTATTTGCGATATTATTTAACGCCCCAAAAAGCATGTTTTAATTCATTTTGTGCCTGTGTTGTTAGTAGATTACATGCACCCAGTTATCATCGGCTCTGCTTTTTTGCAACCCAATGTTAATGTGCCCTGCTCTTGGTAGACTGTGTTGGTCATTATGGAAATGATCTGGCTGCATCTGTGTTCTTTAATTTGCACATTGTCAGTAGATCCCCCGCAGAACTTTCCACTCCCATCTACGCATGCTTAGAACGTTTGCATTGTATTAATGTACTGGACTTCAGATATAAAAACAATGAGTCATTAGGTAATGTTTACAAAGTTTACATACTACCTAATGAAATCAGATGGTTTCCCATTTTCAATTCAATAGAATGTGTGGGAAACCCAATATGGCCGAGTGGTGGACCATTCTTATCTAATTTACTTCGAGAGCAGAACTGAAAATTTCATTTTTAGTGTGATTTTTGCTTTTCACATGGTAAAGAAATAAATCAATAAATCAATAACTTGTATAAAGAGGATAAAAAAAATGAAATCAGATTTTCACTATATTCAGCTGTGGTTTGAATGTAATGCAAATGTGTGGTTTGAATAATTTGTGTTTGTCAAAGTGAAAACTATCAAGTTCCGTTCCTTCCACTGACACTGTAATAAAAAAGGAACAACAAAAGGTCTCTCTCAGTTTGCACACTACTTTAAGTCAATATTACACAAGCAGAACCGCTCTGTAACACAAATACTATTTAAACCCTATTCCACAGACACTCTCCTCTCATAACGTCCTTGAACCTACTGTATGGCAGAGTGCCTTTGGGTTCTGTGGGAGCAGACCTACATCATGTGAAAACATTCACCCTGAGAAGCCACTCCTCAGCTAACAGCTTAACAAGCAGCAGCCCGGAGATCTTCCGTCTTAATCCATTGTGAAATTCAGTATTAAAGCTATGAATGGCCTCCTGAAGGACGTACTCATGAAACAGACCTTAGAGAAAGACATCTCTATTCCCCTCAAGCCTCCTTCACCTCCATCTCACTTCATTATACAGTGAGCGAGTAAACTGCGAGAACTTTTCTGAAAAGGCAGCGGCTAATTTCTTTGATTCAGCGAATCTGTTTATGAGTGCAACTTTGATCAGCGTGTGGATGTTTTAATAAGTTTTAATTTTATTTACGCATCCCAACGCACCCAGTCTGATTTACAAACTTGAAAATCCCTTCTGGAGAAAGAGAGGGTATGTTTTTATGTTTTGCTAATAGTGGTAGCGCTAATCGTGAGTGACGTCGTGGGTTACACAGGGCTGCAGCATTCTAATGAGATGTTAGTCTACAGCCGAGCTCTGAGACTCCTGCTGGGGCCCGCTTTCGCTTGTGCTAATACATGTGTAATAACACTAACTCCTCTAATATATCCAGATTGATGCATGCCTGACCATCAGAAATGGTTCTTTGGCCAGAAGATGTGGCTTAGGCTAGCAGCTCGCTAACCGATTTTCCACTGGTTTTGAGGCATTAGGCACATTTGCATAACTGTTCAAAACTAGTTTGTTCAGCAGGTAAACGTAACAGCCCCACTAACTCGACTCCCTGAGGATTACTGACACTACCAGCTCTGTATGTAATATGAACGTTCCCGTAACAGGACTGGAAAGCTAAATAAAACAAGAGCTCTCTGGAAAAGTAAGTGTTTTTCCCCCCTTATCAAAACTAAGAGGAAGGAGATTATCAGAGACTCTTTCTCTTTTGTGCCTCTGTTACAATCACACACACACACACACACACACACACACACACACACACACACACACACACACACACACACACACACACACAGTAGAGGTGAGTAAATTCACACTCCTTTCACACGGGATCACGTTGCACTGCTGTTTTCTTTAATTAACCCAAAGAGAGCACAGCTGACAAGGTCAACACTTGCATCCCATGTGGATACTCAACATACGCTTCCATTATATACGTTTAAAAGGCTTGTGAAAAAGAAAGGGGAAAATGTTAAGGGGGTTGGGGAAATTGTCATGACATTTTGCTGCTTCTAGGGTGCGCGTTAAATATCGCATGCGATTAATCGTGCAGCCCTAGTTAAAACCAAAGACTCAAAGGAGGGAATCAAAACCTTTTCTTTCAATCTTCCCCCCTACTTTTTTCTTTCTCTCTATTCTGCCGATATAAACAGTCACCTTGGCCTTTTCAGGATGAAGTACTTCTGCACCCCTCTTCCTAAGAGCCAAAGCCTGTGCTGCATTTCACAGCGATAAGAGCAAGGGTGGGAGGGATACAATGTTAAAAGTCTGTTAAAACTAGTTATTTCTTTTTTTATGCATGTGAAAACTGAGTGGTGAGTGAGTGAACCAAAGCAGAGTCGCTATCCTTCTTCTATCCTAAAATTGCAATGTTTTTTTTTTTTTTACACTACACAGGACACACAAGGACACATTTCTCAATACTTATGTCACCTTTTCAAAAATCTTTACACATGTCTCCTTACCAACTTTTAGCTCGGCACAGCAGAAAATTCACATCCAAAATAATTTTGCACTAAAACTACAGTACCAAAACACTTAAAACATACATGTTTTTAAATCAAGTCATTCTTTCATAATGCTAACAAAGCTTGTCACCCAACATACTTTGTCACTCATAAAACAATGACCTAAAACACTAACAACAGGTAATATTATACAATATTTTCATCTGTAAAATTTCTTTCCAAAAAAGAATGGCCTGCATGACAAGTGGTCATTGTTTACAATTAAATAAAAAAATAATGTTTGCTATTAAAATGAAAGACTAACACCTGTCCAGCTACTTCTAATTTCTAATTCTAATGTTTTTTTTATATTTGGAATATATTTAAACAATATTACTCTAGGAATGTAGAAAATTGCTGTCTTGTTCAGCTTTGAATTATGTTAGGTTTTTAACTTCAACAGCTTTGAAAACACTCAAATCGGTCTGTAGGTACATAGAATTTTGGTGGTTGTGTCTGAGTGAGCAAAGAATTCCTGTAATTTGAAAGAAAGTAGTCACTGAATGTATTTTAATAGTAGTGTTTTTGAGTGATCAAAGTGTTGAGATATGGGTCCTAGGATCTGTACAAAACTGTAATAAGCAAGAGGATGACAGCTACATTTGTATTATTTAGGGGTGGGAATCACCAGAGGCCTCACGATACGATATTATCATTGAAAAGTGTTACCTTAATATTAAATATCAATATATTCTTTTTATTCACTTCTATGTAACAGAATCAGATATAAGTTTTTTGTTTGTTTGTTTGTTTGTTTTTTTGGCTAATTATCAAAATAATGTAAAGTCCTACAAAGCTATTATTATCAGAGCATATGAGCAGAGCATAGCGTCACTGAAGGTAGCATCATTTTAGCAGCGTTGCCCAGTACAGCTGAACTAGCCTACACCATGTTACAGCACAGTAGCGCTACTGCAAACCGGAACAAGTATACGGCATAAAAATTTCCTGTCAGCACGTTATTTGTGCGGACTTTGCTTTTCCGATGAGCATGAGCGGTACACGAGCGGAATGCACATTCATAGCTCGGAATATTGAGCTGAGAGTCAAACGAGGAGAGTGAAACATGCGCGCTGAACACTGCCGGGCGCGACGCGGCGCTCCATATATATATTATTATTATTATATGTAGCCTATATTTTCGGTGTATCCCTACTTACATCCCCTCTTTGTTTACAAATCCGAAGTAAGTCCATACATCCGATTTAAACGCGGACGGGGCTTTCCTGATAACTTTCCGCAATGCTGCCCTCTTTATTTTACTAACTTACTGAATGCTGAAGGTGACCCAGGTGAACTCACCAGAAAAAAACTCAACACCACCATCTAGTGGATTGTAAAGAAATTGATTTTATTATTCTACCAAATAGTATAATAAAATATCGATACTTGGCGTCCGTGTATCGATACAGTATTGCCGCGGAAAATATCGCGATACTATGCTGTATCGATTTTTCCCCCACCCCTAATATTATTATGTGCAAATATCAAGTTTTAAATAGTACTTACAAGTCATGGGTATCTTCAGCTTCCTTCAGCCGCTCTTTCACTGTTCTGTAGTTGGTCTGAATGATGCATAAACGGTCATGATGTTTGGCATGGGCTCTTCGCAGATCCTCATTCTCCTTAGTCTGTAGTTTACAGATGACCAGACATACATACAAACACAATTAAAATCTTAAATCTTTATTGTATGAATTAGATGAATTAAAATGTGCACATAACCATTACAATGGGCAGTGGGCAATCGCGGCCTAGTTCCACACCACACACTTTCAATCACATAAGAGTTTAAAAATTAGGGTAAAACGTTAGTTTTCACGATCAACTTTGCTTATTAGCATGCATATCTCTAGCATGTTGGCTGTTTATTAGTACTACTAATGCCCTATTCTGCATGACCCTATTTTAGACTCCTTAATCCTACACCATACCTGAATAACTTAACAACTACCTTGCTATTAATAACAAGAAAATAAGGAGTTTTTTAAAAGCAAAAGCCATAGCCAATAGTTAGTTAATAGTGAGCATTGACCCCTGGCAGGGAGCTTGATTGACAGGTGATCTGTCCAGTCATAACGTAGAACTGCCATGTTGTCAGTCAAAAAAAAAAAAAAACGGACAGGAGAGTAGATTAACTTCGGTGGACGTAAATTGAAAATGGTGTGTATTGACGTCTTTCCACGGTTGAAATAAAATTCCTTCTGATGTTCATTAGTTTATTTCATGCTAAGTAAATATGAAAAGACGATCGGTTCACGTTCCGTTTGAACTGAGGTGCTACAGTGATCTGTCACGACATATTAAAGAGCCACAAAATGCTATTTATTGTTTGAATTTCTTAAAAACAATGATAAAAGTTGAAAGCCAAGACTTTGTTTCATACCAGAAGTAACCTGCTCTTTGCTCAGTGATGTATTTTTCACTGCGTGAGAAAATGATATGTGGCAATAAAAAATATACAGTTTAATGTGTAACCAAAACACCAACCTTATTTTGAAAAGTCTACACATTACTAGTTACAGCTGTT